TCAAACTCTAAAAATGTAGTTGTTGCTGATTAAAATTATCAAGTAGATATTCGTATATTGCCAAGTGTTCAAATTTTAACAAATAAATATCTATTTGTTATATCCTTTGAAATACTTTATAGGAGTTGTCCATGACATTATCAATCACAAATTATGATATTAAAAAAAATATATGTTCACAATTTCTTGTCATAAAACTATAAATGTTTTATGAATTTACAAATGTACATTTTACATTAGCATTCGCTTATCTCCAAAGGAGACTTTCAACACTTAAAAAGCATTTTCAATAAATCAGAGCACTTTTTACTTTTTATTTTAACATAATTTCACTTGAGTCCTACATGCTTGCAGATAAATGTCATGTTCTATTTAGCTTTTTTATAATTTTCTTTCTTCCAAGATTTCTCCCTTATCTATTTGATCTTCAAATAACATGAAATTGAGTAGGTGGTATTTTTTTTTGAAAGGTGAGAAAGTGAGACTGGGCATAAATGCATTAGAGTTGGCTTTCCTCTCTATAGTGGAGGAATCACTGCATTGCTAAATCATCAAATTAAATTTAATAATTTAAATTTAATAATTTTTAAAAGTATAAATTCAATATGAACAATTTTGATTTATAATAAAGAGAAAACGTAGTAATGAAAAACCCACCCCACATAACAAATTTATCTACTTGATTTTTCATAATATCCCAGTGCAAGTGTTAGAAATTAATTCCTTAAAATATTATATTTTCATTTAAGGGATTGACATCTCTCAAAAGTTGTTTTTCTTGTATATACAGACCAAAAACCAAATCATGGCCACATGCTTAAAAGACATGGATGGATTAGCATTAGAAAATCAAGTTTATTTAATAAAGCATTACTTGCAAAACCAGTCTAGTGGGTGCTCCCTAGTCACTTCTGAGGAGGGTTACCTTCTTTGATAGCTCATATAATTAAACTAAAGTACTATTTTGATATAAATGAAGTTTTTTTTTTTTAATGAGTAAGTAAGTGAAATATTCAATCTGAAAAGGAACGAACACTCTACACATTTGATCATTGTCAAAATTGAGTGAAAAGTTAGAAATGGATTTGATATAATTTATTTAACCACATTTGTGGACCCTATAAGCAATAGCGAAGTAAAACTAATTTGAATAGTATTTAAAGATCTTTAAAAATTATTTTTACACACCCATTAATGGTTCTCCAGAATTAATCAAATCCGTCTGGTAAACCAACAGGGAACAGAACAACATAAATAATATAGAGGGAGAAATCAAAACTGAAAAAGCAGAACATGAGAGAGAAGCCCGAAAGCTCAAAAGCTCTGTACCGAACTCGTGGTTGCCTATGCCTCTTGTAAACATGATATCAGACAAAAATGACTGCACAATTAAGCTCAGTAAACCATCAGTTTGTAGAAAATAAAATACCATTAAAACATTGTCTCTAGACATTGGGAATTTAAAACAAATTGAGAAACTCGATTAAGGTTTTAATAGAAATAATTTCCGGTTAATGAATAATAAAGCCACCATTTCTAAATATTTTAAAATATGTAAATTTAAGAATTTTCTGGTGAACTATTTCTAAATAAATATTTTTCATTTTTGGCAAAAATATTTTTGCAAAAAGTGCTTGACACCACATCCACATCACAAACAGGGAGCAAATCATCGGTTTTTAATTGGGTTGGTTGAGGTTGGCTCAACTTCATATAGTGAGCCCTTCCATTGTGTTGACATATTTACTAGCTCATTTTCACATTTCAATGCTTATACTTTTGGCATTCCTCTCATATTAGTAATGTGGAACTTAATCTTTTGACACACCTATGCAATAACTAGAATAGACATTGTTGAAAGTTTTGCCACTCACAAATACTACAATGGGAGACCTTGTTCAATATGATATTGGTTTTTGAAATACAAGTTTGGCTAGTGATATACTTTATTCAATTTTTAATATAAGACAATTAATTAACTTTGCACTTATTAAGAAATGTTATTTATTCCTTAAAATTATAAAAAATGTAACCTTTCAATTTTTTAATCATAATAAATTGCCATCGAGGAATTCAAACCGTACTAAATAAATAAGTGTAAAATTAAAAAAATTAAATTTATTACTCTAATTTTACCTTATATTAATAACAAAAATTTAAAATTTGTATTAGGTTAAGGAGTAGAAAAAGTATATGACACAGAAAAAACTAATGAACTGCAAGGATTTTTAGTACTTCAAGTTTGGATAGGGTGTAAGTGTCACAATAGAAAATATATGGTGATAGCTCCATACAAAGTTTTGATCAATAATAGCAAAATACATTGTTTTATAAAAAAAATAATAAAATCTCTTTAAATTATATAAATAATATTTTTAATATCTTAAAATATCATAATTCTTTTGAAGTCTCTATAAATTTTTTATCATTAAGGAATTAATATATATGATCAAATTGCTTTTAATTTAAATTTTCGAATTGCTATTAAAATTTTTATAATTTTAATTTTTTTTTTAATTTTAGAATAAAATTTATGAATGACAATTGACATATATAACACTTGAGGAATATTAGGCTTTCAAATGCAAGCTTGCGAATTGTTGTTGAATTCTTGTGATTTTAAGAAGAAAGGTTGCAAAATTTATAATAAAATTTATGAATGGTAATTGATATTTAAATCAAGAATAATTTGATCATTTATATTAATTTCTCAATGACAAAAAAGTTTTTAGGAATTTCAGAGAAATTATGATATTTTGAGAGATTAAATATTATTTACATAATTTAAAGAGATTTTATAATTATTTTTCTTATTTTATTTTCATCTTTTCATTTTAATAATATTTGTAAAACCGAAAAAAATATGATAGCCTTACATAAAAATAAAGCGTCATTTTCATATTTTTATTGACTACATTATTTACAATTATATTTATATCATTTTAATTAATAAAAATACAATTAAAAATTGAGATATTTTTAATAAATAAAAATATATTCTCTCCATTAAAAAATATAAAGCATTTTTAACTAAATCTCCACTCTCATAGTTACCTATTTTTTAACTAACCCTATCTTTTTATATTTATCCTTTTTAAACATCTTACAATAAATATAAAGTCATTATAAATAGAAACACTTAAAAAAAGACAATGATTACACTTTAAAAAATTAAAAATGTATTATATTTTTAAACATCTAACTCATCAAAAAATACCTCATATTTTTAAATGGAGGGAGTATATTCTTTCTATTAAAAATGTGATACTCTCTCTATTAAAAAATGTAAGACATTTTTAATAAAATTTTACCCACAATAAAATAATTATTTACTTTCAAATCAACCTTATTTTTTTTATATTTATCGTTATTGAACAACCTATGATAAATATAAATTCATTCACCTTTGAAAAAAAATAATGATTACATTTTAAAAGATTAAAAAATGTCTTACATTTTTAAACATTTAACTTCTTAAAAAATGCCTTATATTTTTGAATGGAGATAGTATATTTTTAAAATCTTATTCCAATAAAATATTAGTTTCTCCCTTTGTTTAAAAATAAGATATTTTTAATTAAATTTTACCCCTAATAAAGTTATTATTTACTTTTAAATTAATTCTATTTTTTTACATTTATTCCTATTAAATATCCTATAATGAATATAAAGTCATTATTAATAGGATTGTTTTTGAAAAAAAGATAATGATTGCATCTCAAAGATTAAAAATGTTTTATATTTTTGAACGGAGGAAGTAATTATTTTCAAGCTAACACAATCTTTTATATTTATTTTATTTAATAATATATTTTATTTTAAAATAAATATAAAATAATGTATTTATTATAAATACTTTTAAAACAATATATTAATTATATATTTAAAATAGTAAAAATATCTTACTATATTTTTTTACTTTTTGTACCGTGCAATTCTCATGAATTGAGTCAGTTAAAAACTGCTAAAAGATATTAGCGGAGCCAGAAAAGATCCTGACAGACGTTGTGCTCAGCGCCAGAGTCATGACCGCACGTGATGTGAAAGTTTTTAAACGGTTTTCGAAGTTAACAGCTTTTGTCTGTTTGAAAAACAAAGTTTACAGCTTTTTGCAGTTTATTGATAAAATAAAATCAAAATACAAGCATTAGTAGCACACTAGCACTCGACTCATTTTTCTCGTAGTTAAATTCAACACAAACTAATCTAGGAATGAGTTAGGTTAAATTACATGAATGTAAAACTTTTTCATTAGCAATTTTTTAAATATCACCTCGTTTGGAAAAAAAAATAAAATGTAAAAGCAGTTCAAGTTTTTTGCTCAATAAATTCTCTTCAATTAACCATGGTTGATAAGTTAATACTCCCTCCATCTTAATTTTTAATATTTTTTTGGTAAAATTATATATATTAATAAAATTCATTAAATATAATTTATAATCTTAATATTTTTATGAATTTTTAAAAATATTCTTCATCAATAAGATAGAAAAAGAATTAAAAAAATATTCCTTCAATACATATTATTAGTTACCTTTTAAAAGAGATTTATGGTCCTTAATATAAAACATTTGATGGGATAATTAATTTTTTCCAATGTTATCTCTATAAATGATTAACTATAAGAAATAATCTAATATAAATATAAATTTTTTATTTAAACATTGATAAAATTAGAAATTTATTCTAATTTCAAACAATATTTAATGATTTAATCATTTTTTTTAATCTGATGAAGTGATTAAAGATGTGAGGATTCAAAGAGAATATATTTAAGGGTGAAATAATGAGAATTATTATTAAAATAATCATAATTAATAAAGTCATATTATTTTAAATATTTTATATTTTAGAATACCAACCTTAAAAAATGCTTGGTAAAATGAGACTGAGGATGCTTATCACTGCATTTATTTTGTTGGAGGGGCCCAAGCAAGAGATATGATGTGAGAGGCACATTATTGTTAGAAATACGGTATTATTGGAACCGTAAAAGAAATAGAAAGAGCGAAGAAAGGAAAGGTAGAGAGGAGGCGAAGAATGAAATTCTGGGCCTCGGGGATAGCAACATCCCGTGCTCCTTCATCACCACCAAAGCCTCTCACTCCCATTGCTACTCTCTCACCATCTCCTACATTCTTCGTCCTTCGTCCTTCTTCTTCTTCTTCTTCTTCTTCACCTCTTCAATGGGCAATTGTGGCACCAGAGAGGAATCCGCTGTTGTCTCCAACGCTCAAGGTTCTTCTTCTTCTTTTGTCTTGTTCCACCTCCAGATCTAGGGCTCTGGCTTTCACTTTCTGATCATCTGTTACTTATTTTATTTCTCAATTTCTGGATTGCTTTAGTTTCTTATCATCTGAACTGTTCTGACCTAACCTATCAAACTCAGTATTGGTGTCTCTGCTGTGTTTTTAATTCTGAATTGAATGCTTATGCATTGTGAAATTGAACTCGTGGAATTAAGGTGAATTGACTTACATTTTGAGTAATGTATGAATTTGGCAGTTCAACAGCTGCACATGTCGTCCTTGACATCTAAAAGTGCTGCCAGCGACAAGAAGCACCATCGGTCTGTGTCAGATCTGAGCGACATTTCCACCCCGCGGCACAACTTCGAAGATGCCAGGAAGAATACACTACTCTATACTCATGTCATTGCTTTCACATTGTATGAGCTTGAGACTATTACGAAGAGTTTTCGCTCCGATTATATCCTCGGAGAAGGGGGCTTCGGCACTGTCTATAAAGGTTATATTGACGAGAATGTGAGAGTTGGACTCAAATCCCTTCCTGTCGCTGTCAAGGTTCTGAACAAGGAGGGTCTTCAGGGACATCGCGAGTGGCTTGTATGTTTCGATTCCTTGTTAATGATTTTACTTACGTTATTTCTTCATTGATTTGATTAAATCAATTTAACTCTTCGTCATCTTGTTTATTCGCCACCACCATAGACAGAAGTCAATTTCCTGGGCCAGCTCCGGCATCCTAATTTGGTTAAGTTGATCGGATACTGCTGTGAGGACGATCACAGGCTACTTGTATACGAGTTCATGTTTCGAGGAAGTTTAGAGAATCATCTATTCCGAAGTATGCAACATATTTAATTCTTCTCCCACTTTTGCATCTCCTTTTATACTTGTTTCTTTCACTTGTCGGTTTTGCAATAGCATAGTTCAATTTTTCCCGTAAAAAGTGAAACAAACAAAGGAGGGAAATTGTTGGGTCAAGCTTCAAGCCTTATCTTATGCTATCCGCTGTATCTTAGACATTTTTGGAGTCTTTCTCGTGGTTGTTTCCTGTTTTCATTTCCAATACTAGTGTCCTAGGAAAAAGGGATGTAAAATGTGTAAATTTTCCAAGTTGGCTATTGGTAAGGCAGTTTAGTGTGCCTATGTTCCTGACCTCTATTTCAACAGGATGAACAACTTCTTATATGAGGGAGAGGTACGCCAAACCAGGAACTTTAGGCTGAACTTGATTTAAATTTAGATCTTAAAAGCAGCCCAACTTCTTTTCACTGCAGAAATCTTTATCCTGACGATTAAACAAGATGATATCATAAATTATGACCCATGCACCGCTAATCAGGATTTTTATGATTCATAATACACATGCTCAGATTCCATGAAATAGACTAGTTGATATGGTAAAATTTCCCTTATTTTCTATGTTGCTAAAACTCAATCTGCAAATGAAAAACTCTTTAGAATCTTAGATTCCTTTCAGATGCATCTTACTTCTTGAGCTTTTTTTTATGTTACTCAGTTTATACTCGGTGGAAAAATTGATGGTTTATACCCATTAAAATAATTGCATTGGCATCTTATTCAATGTTCTGATTACTGATCAGACAAAGTTATTTGTTGTTGTGGTTCAATTAATAACACTACTATGCCATCGGTTCAAACATTGAATGATGAAAAATTGACAGTTGGCGACCCTGAACTGTTTCATTGATAGAGACAGGATGTTAGAGTTTAGCGGGTGCTTTATTGGAAGCTACTGTGTCCGTAACTCTGAAATTAGTTTCTATACAATGCTTTTATATGGGGAACTGTATGTATACTAATTTTGTATGACAGAGTATGTTCTGTGAGTTGTATTTAATCTTTTGTTGATTGGATAATGTTGACCTTTCCTCTGGGGCTTATGGTTATGGGATGGGTTAAAAGTTGATGTAAATTGAAGAATTTTATTTGTTCTATTCTTTCTTCTATTATTTCATTGTGGAATTTTACATAATTGCATTGAAATGTTTTCTTTTTTGCAATCTTTGCCTGGTTTTGTTGTGAGACACTTGTTTCGCTTCAAATATGTTGACAGTAAAAGCATGGGTCAGCTTAATGAATATATGTTTTGAAACCTTTTTTATATGTTAGCCATGGAAATATTGCTAGTCAGTACTGAAAGTAGTGAAGAGGAGGTTCTTCTTAGATTCTTGGTGTATTTTGTTAACTCAAGTTGATATGACCTTTCCTGAGGCTTCCAGAGGCAACTGCTCCTTTATCATGGGCTACAAGAATGATGATTGCCCTTGGAGCTGCTAAGGGGCTTGCTTTTCTTCATAATGCTGAGAGGCCAGTAATCTATCGAGACTTCAAAACTTCTAATATATTATTGGACTCCGTAAGCTTCTAGTATTTTAACCTTCATCTGGATATTTTTTTATGACTCTGGAAGAAGGGAATAATTATTCTATTCACTTGATGTTATCTATGACTTCATAGGATTATACAGCTAAGCTTTCTGATTTTGGACTAGCAAAAGCTGGACCACAAGGTGATGAAACCCATGTGTCCACCAGGGTCATGGGTACCTATGGATATGCTGCTCCTGAATATGTAATGACTGGTATGGCCTCCCACTCTCTGGGAAACAATTTTTGGTCCATAAACAGAAGGAAATAAAGTAGTGGCAAGATAGAAAAGATAATTGTGCTTGCAATATTAAACTTCCCTTAAAAAACGTTTTCTTATTTATGTTCAATGGGGTACTTGTTAATTGTAATCGGATATAATTTTGCGAGTTAGCTCAGTTAATGTTAGAAGGCAGGGGTGGAAGGCCAAATTTGGTGCTATCCTGGTTCGGCCTGATTTGCATTATGCATTATGCCTGATCCCATGTCATTAATTAAGTAGCATTGGGCAACAACTCAGACATAGCTTTCTTGCATTCACCAGCTGGGGGATATGAATGGCAAGGTGAGATTATTAAGAAGAACATGTAAGGCCGACCAAAAAAGTAATCCGGTTCATACAATGAAAAGACTGAGTATCAAATTGTCAAATATCAATTATTATTGAACCATAATGAAAATCAATCTCAATAATTTAGGAGTCGAGTGGTTACTTGATTTGACACTTGTTTGGAGGTGAAGAGCAATTTCCTTTGCCTATGTTAAGGACTTTTTTCTTTTATTATTAAAATTATTTAATTAATTTTATGCATTCAACCCTACCTTGCAATTTTTGCTGTTAATGTGCCTAGAAACTTCAATATACGTTTTCCTCTTACCTTTTGGTTCTTCACAATCCTTTTGTACCTTCCAATTGTTTACGCATGCTTGCATATGCTCAGGGTTCATACTACCTGCATTTTAAATTTCGTCATGCTTGGGCTCTTGTGCATGCTTTTGTTTGTTAGAGTCCACAAAGGCATGTCTAAACACGCCCTATATGAAACTATCAGGCCACCTGACTGCAAGGAGCGATGTGTATAGCTTTGGAGTTGTTCTTTTGGAACTTTTAACTGGAAGGAAATCTGTTGACAAAACAAGACCAGGTAAGGAACAGAGCTTGGTAGATTGGGCCAGACCAAAGCTTAATGACAAGAGAAAGCTCCTGCAGATAATTGATCCTAGATTGGATAGCCAATACTCAGTAAGGGCAGCGCAGAAAGCATGTAGCTTGGCTTACTACTGTTTGAGTCAAAATCCCAAAGCCAGGCCATTAATGAGTGATGTAGTTGAGACGTTGGAACCTTTACAAAGTTGTAGTGATGGTGCTGGTGAAGTCTTATCATTGGGACCAAGTAACGGAGGAGCCGGTCCCTTTGCCATGAGTGGAATCTCTGACTATCAGATGCGCAAGAGGTTTTCAAACAATGTTGGTCCAGGCGCTAGTTGCCGGTCCCCGAACCCAAACTGCTCACCTGGCGCCCCTGCTGCTTGCAGGGTCAGATGATAACCTCACCCGATGTATTTCAATCCGGTGTGCTTCTCAAATCTCAATTTTCACCTGATCTCATGAAGTAATATAATTTGCTTGTTATTAGAATGGGGGGGGGGGTAATCGGTGTATTTGCTGGTTTGTACATGGTGTTATGGTTGACGAAAAGCCCTTTGTGGATTGTTTCCTTTGTATCAATGTTTGGTCTTTGGGTCTCAGTGGGAGCTAATTGCGTGTGGAAGAGTAGTCTACTGTGTGTAGTTATGATCATCAACATCGTCAAAACTAACACCACTGATTCCACACGTCAGGGGCTCAAGATGCTCTAAGTCGTGTGTAACCTCATAATATTTATGACTCACCAGCCCATTCACATGCTATATATAATACTTTCCTGTGTAGTTTGTTTTTTTCCAGGAAACTGAGGAAGACTATCCCTCTGAGATGCTTGAGGATGTTGTTATGATTTCTTTTCTTGAAGCCTAGGAAGTATGCAAGGAAGGCAAAATGTAAAATGTCAACTATCGTTATATAAAATAACAGTTATTTTCTGAATTAAAGTGCACCTGCTGTTTGAATGCCTGTCACTTTAATTCCCCCCCCCCCCCCCCAAAAAAAAATATGCTAGAGCAGAGAGCGTTCTTGTTTTTTTTGCCCTTATGTTTTTTTCAGTACAACCATTTGATATCAGGTGTACAGGTTTGAGTATTTTCATGTCCAAATATAGAATGACTTTTTCAATGTGATTTTTTGTCATCCTCAAAATTTGAATATTTTTTAACAAAACTATATACTTAATAACTCAAAACAAAGGTACAGTTAGACAATACTCAAAATATTTATCCTTTTATCATCCACCACTTCCTTGCAAGCATGCAGGGGTTGCTTAAAGATGTAAAAATCCATATCTAACTTGTGAGATAATCTAGCTAGTTCATCAACACGTGTTACCTTCAATCTGCATAAATTGGAAGTTCACCTACCAATCTCTCTCTCTCTCTCTGTAATTTAAATATTTAATCTAAACAACTGACTAGACTTGAGGACAGTTTCTTTAGAAGAGTTATTTTCTGTTTTATTGAAAGTTTTTGGTTCTTAAAGAATTGCTGTTTGGTCAGTGCAGCATGGCTATGGTATACTAGAGAAAAGTGTAGTGGATAATCCACATTGGCCTCTCTAGATTTTTATTTTTTGGGCCACTGAGCTCACTACTAAAAAATGATTGTCTTTAATTATATTAGTGCATGCAATGTTTATTTTTTCATCTATGATTTATCCGTTAACTAACTTTTGTTCTCAATATTTTTAATTCAATTTAAAATTTACAATTCAAAATCTATTTGTCTTAATTTGTTTGGAATCAAGTAAATTAAGTATATAAGTTTAAATATCTTATTTTTCTCCATTGTCCTGTCTTATTTGTTTGTTGTAATGTCGCTTGGAATATTTTCCCGTGATTTTTATGATTGCATATAGTTTGAGATGATAATAAAACTGTAACAAGGTGAGTTATTTTTTTTTAAACATTCATCATTATCTTGTTTTATTTTATTCTGTCCCGTAAATATTTCTTAATTATGTGGGACTTCTTTTGGGCTTTTAAACTTGTAAGAATTATATTAACCTGTTAGCTGCATCCACTTCATTCTGAAATACCATAAAAAAAAAAATCTGCAAATAAAATCTCTTTCGCATTAATTTATTTTCTATATTACGATAAATAAAAATACTGTACCAAAAGTCACACGGGGCTCAATACTTTAGTTTAAAATTAAATATGGGCAATCTCGCATTCAAGTTTTACCAATGCTAATTTGTGGATTTATATTAATTGTAGATGCATGCTATCTTGTCCCAATCTTGTCCCCATATTTAAATTATAATGTCACATAATTCTTGAACTTACTTTAAATCTTAATCAAACACGGACTTACCAAACAGGACGAGACAAGAAGGATACCTTCAATCATGTCTAATTTTTCCTTGAATTAGATGGACATATATTAACAATTTAAGGTTATAAATCTGATTAAATTTGTGACCTTCTATTTACAGAGAGTTTATATATCATTAGGTTACAAGGCAATTGACTTCACTCTTTGAATGAGAGATAAAAATAATAAATTTAAAGAGGAATTTTTTTTAACATTTTCACTATTTTACGTACATCATAAGTACATGATTTTGTGGCATGGTTGGAAATGATTTGATTTGGCTATAATTGTTTTCTTCCCCTTTCTAATACAAAAGGCTATAATTATGAGGAATAGTCAAGACAAATCAATTCATTATTTATTGCTTTTTTTATTTATAGAATTTGTGCTTACTGCTTGGGACATGAGTTTGTTGTTGTTGTTGTTGGTTTTGGTTTTTTTTTTTTTTTGGATCTTCAAAATTTAGTGTTAAGCTTTGTGTAAGGAGGACCTTTGGGACATCAAGGACAATGATTATGTCTTGCAAACTATAAAGTATTTTTTTCTTTGGAACAAGATAATCATGCTAACAAAATCATTTTCAATATCTCATATATCTTTTGTAGTGCCAAAATCAGTCAGTGCATCAATTCTAATTTAAGAATCTTGTTTCATATCGCTTCTATATTATAACTTCAACTCCACTTTCTTTTCCTTTTTTTTTAAAAACATTTAAATTAAATTATCATTTATCACATATTTATAACTTTACAAGACTAAAACATTATTTATACACTCACGTATATTAAAATTTTATAACAAGTTACAAATAAGAAAATTACTTGTTTTTCTTAACTTTTTCAATTCATATAAAGAACTCTTTTCATTAATTACTTTTCTGTTTCAATAATAAAGCATCATTCACTTGAAAATAAACTCTCTTTTTGCATGTTTGGTTCAATTACATAAATGAGGATTGGTAACGAATTACTTTTCCATGTATCAATATAACGTCATACATAATTTTAGGTATATAATATAATCTGAATTCATGCCTACATGAATTAACATCTCGACCTCTATCCATGAATTGTAATCAACATTTGAATATCTATAAATACTCTATATTTTGGTCCTCACAGGGTAAAAATGTCTTTCCACATTTATTTTTATTTTTTTCAAGATAAAATATAAATTTCATTATATGGTTCCCTGACGGCATATCAAACAAATACTCTATAATCATCATTCTATTATGTTATATTATCTACCACTGCATTTCATTGCATTTTTTTTTTTTATGATTCTTCATTTCTTTGAACCTAATGGGCACTTAAATCTTCTCAGGAAAAAAAAAATCTCTTAAATCTTATTTTCACATAAATAACGACTCACACCCAAATAAGCCTCTTTGATTATCACCCTGCGACGTTAATACTAAAATAACAAATTAATTAATCAACAACAAAAAGTATTCACATAAATATAAAAAAAGCTAAAATATATTTTTAATTTTTTAACTTTATACTAGATTTTATTTTAATTTTTTAATTTTATAAAGTATATTTTTAAGCTTTTAATCTTAACACTGTCAGCTTCATCACAAAAAAAGTTTTACATTGATATTTTAAATATTAACAAAACATTCTCATTGACTCATGAAGTTTACTTTTTTAAAAAATAACAATATTGGAACAAAAAATAATATAAAAATTAAGAAAAAAAATTTTATAAATTTTATTTTTTATAAACCACTTCCAATATGTTTAACTAAAATCAAACTTTTAAAATTTATTAACACTGTTTAAAAATTTAATAATTTTTTAACTTTACTCTTATTAAACATTTATATTTTAATAACATACTTTCTTTTATCAATATTTAATAGAAGATAAATGAAAAAAATATAATAAAAATAATGATATAATTTATAAATAGAATCAAAGAAATGCTCGTCCTTATCTTATAAATAAAAAAAAAGGGAAGGAATACAATTTAATTTTATGGGCGGTCAAAGTGCTAAACTGGGTAATGGACTAATGGATGCCAATCAGTTAAATTACATAATATTTTTTTTGGTGGAAATCGTACATGACATTCATAATATATATAAAAGATAATGACATGTGAATTACTTAAAATAAAGAGGATGCTGCCATGTGAGTGGATGATTGTGTGTGAGGCACAAATATTATTTGAAAATGGAAGTTGGAAGAGAGACAAGAAGCTTTGGTAGGTTGAAAGAAGCAGCAGAAAGCCAAATTGCCAACAAACTGTCAAGCCGTATATTATATATTTATTCACACATAATAAATATAATAAGGAAACAGCATCAATCATTTTATATATATATATATATATATTAATATACAAAATGTCAAAATCCACGCAAAATTGTACTAATTAATCATATGATTAAAAATGCGGTTTATTTCTTGAAGAATGATACTCTTTCTCTCCTAATTAATTTACAACACATTTTTTGTATAATTTAATCTACTAAAATATAAGACATTTTAATAAAAATAAAATTTTATTAGTGATAATTATTTCAATATTAGTCCTTATTATTTTACTTTTTAAATAAGTTTTTTTCCTCTTTCTTATTAATGAATGGTTTTTTTGAAATGAATGGTTTTTTAGAAGTTCATAAAAAAATTAAGATTATAAACTATATTTAATGAATTTTTTATGTATGTATAATTTTGTCAAAAAATATCTTGTAAAATGGGACGGAGTAATTAATATACTTAAATTTGTAAATAATTGTATAACTCATTAATTTATTAAAATTAATGATGACAATAGACTATGTCTATGAAAAAAGTTTGCCAACAACTTGGTATTATGATATTAAAAAAAATAGCGATTATAACCTGGTATTATGATATTAAAAGAAAATAGTGATTATATCTCTCTCTTCTATTTAGGACAAAAAAGACTTTAAGTTTTTTTCTTATAGTTACTGCAGGAGAGAGTTATGTAGGCTTCTTAAAATAGGACTTAATAACTAATATATAATTAAGGAGAAAAACTCATAAACTCAACCTTAATATTTTAAATTAAGATATGGTATTGTTTTACTACTCTTTGCTCATTCCTCCTCTCTTGTTGTTTTAAGGTTATCACTCTTCATTTTTAATAAGTGATAATAAACTCAAGTTTTGCGTTGGGACTTGAAATCTTGTTATTATGCATACATTTGAAACCCAAAATAGGATTAGACTCGACTATAATAAGGACTTGTATATTTAGCCTTGCTTGCATGAGCATTGTAAACATCTAAATTTAAATTTTAATAGTTAATTTTTGGTCAATTTTTAATTTTTAAATATTTTAGGTACGAATTTATGAAATAAAAAGAAAATTTTGATAATAGAAATTAGTTTAGAAGCTAATTTTTTAGATTATTAATGTTTATTGATAATTAAAAGATGAGTTAAAAATTTTACTTAATAGTGTTAACTCCAAATTTGTATTAAGATTAAGATTAAAAATTATGTTATATTTTTAATTCTATTATTAGAATTATTTTATTAGTTTCAAAAATTGAAACTAATATTTATAAATAATATGTTATTTATAGATTGTATTACTAGTGAAGATTGTGGTGAGAGAGAAATTTTAAGGAATAATTTATTGAAAAA